ATTAAAGCACTCACAACTGCTGGCCCAGTTAAATTAGAGAAAAAAGTAGCGCCTAAAGCTAAGGCGGCACCAAAAGCAAAGGCTGAAACTGCTAAAAAAGCTGCACCGGCAAAAGCAGCAGCACCAAAAAAAGCAAAAGCTGAATAGTTAATAAGATTTAAATTAAAAAGCCCCGCTTGAAGAAATTCAAGCGGGGCTTTTGTTTTAATCCAATTTAATCAGGAAAACTGATAAGCACTACTAAGCCAGTAAACTGGCAAGTGCCACGGGCATAAGTACCACCAAGCTAGCATATGCTAATATTGCTAATCACTCACCAATATGCAACTCACCTCGTGCGATGAGTGCGGTGTTCAACACTTTTTTAGCGTCTTTTCCTATTACTGTAAAGTGTCCCATTTTGCGTGCTTTACGTGGTTCAGCTTTGCCATATAGATGCAACTTCAAGCGAGCATGGCTGCAAGCCTTATTCCATGCGGGTTCCAGAGGGGCGGTTTCTTCTCGGGCGTTTTTTGAGTTAGAAAACCAACTATCTCCCAAGATATTTACCATTACTGCATTACTGTGCAAACTGGCGTCACCCAAAGGCAAGCCTGCAAGCACGCGCACTTGTTGCTCAAACTGATTCGTCACACAAGCGTCTATTGTGTAATGTCCTGAATTATGCGGACGCGGGGCGATTTCATTGACGAGCAATTGCTTGCCTACTAAAAAAAACTCCACCCCCAAAACACCAACATAGTTGAGTTTTTCAGCAAGCTTTTTGGCTAACTCACGCGCGTTGGCTTTGATTACTTCACCGCAACGCGCTGGCGCAATGCTAATATCTAAAATGCCATTCAAATGGCTATTTTCTGCCGTAGAAAAAGCCTCAATATTGCCTTTACTATCACGTGCTAGTACTACTGAAACTTCTAAATCTAGGGGTAACATTTGCTCTAATACACAAACTTCTTGCTTGAATGTGGTAAACGCAGCTTGCGCTTCAGCCTGGTTTTTAACGCGTGCCTGACCCTTACCATCGTAACCAAAACGCGCAACTTTAAGAATGGCAGGGTATAGCAGACTAGTGTCATCAGGCAAATCTGCGCTTGTGTTGATGACCGCAAACGGGGCAACAGGTAGGCCTGCTTCTTTAATAAAGGTTTTTTCTAAAACTCGATGCTGTGCAATCGCCACATTAGCACCACTTGGGCGAACAGTTGTAGTGAGTGCTAACTTTTCAAGCGTTGCTGCGGGCACATTTTCAAATTCTGTCGTGACTGCTTGGCAGGTTTTAGCCATCGTTTCAAGTGCGGTAGCATCGTCATAATTGGCGCATAAATGCACGTCAGCAATTTTACCTGCTGGGCTATTTTTATCAGGGTCAAGTACCGTCACCTTGTAACCCATTTCATGTGCCGCAATCACAAAAAAGCGGCCTAGCTGACCGCCACCTAACATGCCCAGCATCGCGGGTGGTGTAATCACTTTATTTTCAATCATGGCTTTACTCTTTTTTTGTTGATGGCTGATCTGTCAGCGTCATAACGTTTACTTTCTCTGTTTGTTTTTGACGAAACTCTGCTAATTTTTTAGCTAAATTTGCATCATGGTTGGCCAACATTGACACTGCAAAGAGGCCAGCATTGGCGGCACCGGCGTCTCCTATCGCAAAAGTCGCGACAGGCACACCTTTGGGCATTTGTACGATAGAAAGCAGCGAATCTTGACCCTGTAAATGCTTGCTTGGCACTGGCACGCCCAACACTGGCAATGTGGTTTTAGCGGCAACCATGCCTGGCAGATGCGCTGCGCCGCCCGCACCTGCAATAATCACCTGATAGCCATTTTTTGCGGCCTGCTCAGCAAACTGAAACATTAAATCTGGTGTGCGATGCGCTGAAACCACTTTCGCGTCATAAGGCACGCCAAAATCTGCCAACATTTGTGCAGCATTTTTCATGGTAGGCCAGTCACTATCTGAGCCCATAATAATGGCGACTAATGGTTGTTGACTCATGCTAAATCCCCTTACATCACAATTAAACTATCGCGGTGAATCAACTCTGCTTCATCCACATAGCCTAAAATTTTCTCAATTTCACTACTTGGTTTTTTTAAAATACGTGCGGTTTCAGATGCTGAATAATTCACTAATCCACGCGCAATTTCTGCACCATTTGTATCTACGCAAGCGACCACATCACCTCGCTCAAAGTAACCTTCCACCGCCACCACCCCTATGGGTAACAAACTTTTACCTTCTTGCTTCAATACTTTTACCGCACCTGCATCTAAAATCAACTTGCCTGTGGTACGTAAATGGTCAGCCAGCCATTGTTTGCGCGCGGCAGTTTTCATTTGAGTGGCTTCAAGGTGCGTGCCTATAGCTTCACCCGCACTTAATCTAAGTAAAACATCTTTTTCGCGCCCAGAGGCAATGACCGTATGCGCACCACTGCGGGCAGCACGTTTGGCGGCTAGGATTTTTGTCAGCATGCCGCCTGTACCTACGCTACTGCCAGCGCCACCTGCCATTTGCTCTAGCGCCGTATCGCCAGCTATTGCATGATTAACAAACTGCGCTTGCGGATCTTTGCGTGGATCGGCTGAAAACAATCCTTGCTGATCGGTTAATATCACTAAGGTATCTGCTTCAATTAAATTCGCCACTAACGCACCTAAGGTATCGTTATCGCCAAAACGGATTTCATCGGTGACCACGGTATCATTTTCGTTAATGATAGGAATCACGTTTAAATCGAGCAAAGTGCGTAGCGTACTACGTGCATTAAGATAACGCTTTCTATCCGCCAAATCGTCGTGCGTGAGCAACACCTGTGCAGTGTGTAAATCATGCTCAGCAAAGCAACGCTCATACATTTGTACCAAACCCATTTGCCCAACGGCCGCCGCTGCTTGTAGTTCATTGACAGCGGTTGGACGCTTTTTCCAACCTAGGCGTTGCATCCCCTCAGCTACCGCGCCGCTTGAAACCAGTACCACCTGCTTGCCTTGTTTTACAATGCTGGCAATTTGCGCTGCCCACGCAACAATTGCAGCTTGGTCTAAGCCGTTACCGTTGTTGGTCACAAGGCTAGAGCCTACTTTGACCACAATTACTTTTGCATTATGTACTAATGATTTCATGGTTTGAATCTAAATCTTGGTCTTGCGCTTCCAATCTATTGGCTTCAATATGCTCCATAATCGCGTATGTCAGCTCTTTACAACCAATGCCGCTAATGGCTGAAATGGCGAATACGCGGCCTTTCCAACCGTAATCTTTAATA